CTCCTAAATGATCCATTGAAGTATGAAAAACCAGTTACAGTCCGCATCAACAATTATCATATTCCCTGTAAATAATACATATCTAATAGACGTGAAATTTAAATAAAATCAATCCAAGTTAATTTAAATATGAATAGCAAAGAAGAAAAAAAACATTTGAAGCTCTGGATTACAATATTTTAATACTTGAAATAAATAACATGATGTTTTATAATCTTCAAATGATGATCATAAGCTATTCTAATTATCTAATAAATCAATCACCAATACCAAATTCCATCTTTTAATGTTAATTCTAATATCACCAATAATTCCATTTATGTAGTACAATCATTAAAATGTGACTTCAGCATTCATAATTAAGAGCAGCTGCTATTGCTACAAACAAGATAATCAAATCATCTATCCAGCTATATTCGAAAATAACTACTCGCCCTATTACAACTAATATATTTAAAAAAGAAAAAACAGTATATAATAATGCAAATAAAGATAGAGAAGGCGCTGATGGACAATATTAATCACTCACATGATCGTTATAGCTCAAGACTCAACAGCAGGACTCCAGAAGTAACCTTGAAACCATGTACATCGTGGATACAATTAATCAAAAGTCCCAGAACCGTGCCCGTGAAATATCAATTGAAGATTCTAAAAATCCAGCTTAATTCAGGTTTGAATACGATGTACCAGTGATTCCAGGGAGACCACGGATGGTCCCTAGGAAAGCCATATGATACAATTTCCAGACATATAGAATGGCTAAATTAACAGTCTGGTAAGTATTTAATGGAAACCGCGAAGGAAATACAAACAATCAGCTTCTAAAATGACAAAAAATAAAAATTGACTGATCATTTAATGATAAATTAACTTGTAAAGAAGTTGTCAGCAACTTTTGGAATTATGATAAACTTAAAAGACGCGAAAAAAAAACAAAGAACAAGATATACTGGGACGTAAAAGTCAAATTAGATTTAGAATACATATTAATTGATTCCTCTTTCCCTTTTAGCTAATCTTCGTAGAAAATTCTCTTTCACAACTTTCTAGATAAGATAACTCGACAGCAAAACGAAAAGTTTTTGTTTTTCGTAAATACGTAAATCATGCTGGCAAATTTATGGACATGAATTAGGCCCATGGAAAAGAATTAGGGACAGTGATAATAACGAAATTGTAGCGATATGTGCAAAAGGATACCCGAATAATACAAATAACTTAGCAGTGTAATAATTATATACTTCATCTTGCTGCAATCAAATTCTTGCTATATTCATGACAATGCTTTTGCTTTTTTAAACCACAAAAAAAAGATTCACAATGCATGCATGAACAATTTGGAATGGACCTGCATCCAGGTCCGTGTATCATGCGTTATGGATAACACAAAATGGTGCTCTTTACGTCAGCATCGTAAATCAACCAATTATTGATTAAGGGCACTTAAAACGATACCATATCATTTTATAGTCTCGACGATTTCCTATTATTACTAATATCTGGTATCCATCAAACTCAACATATAAATATTCATAACTCATAGCAAAACTGGAAATCCCCAAAAACTTAAACGAGTGCCAAACAATAAGCAGCTTTTCAGGATAAAAGGATTACAAATAATGCAAAAAAGAATACATAGTTTTGGATTAGCGAACAGTAAAACTGTGAAATCAGTAGAGACAATCGGTGGACGATTTTCACGTACCTATCACAGACTGAGCGAGACCTTGATTATGACTGTATTAGATCCAACATTAAAATAGTCAGTTTGAGTCCCAACCTCCAAATGCCTACAATCTTAAAAGAGTATTTTAGTTTCATGGTTTCATACAAAGCAAAGAAAATTCATACGTTTTTTTCTTTTTTTTTTTTGCAGGAAACTACATATCCACCATCCCGCTTGAAAATGAACATCAAAGTCTACAATACAATTTCAGTATTGGCCATAACAGCGGAAATCTAAAGAAAATTTGGAGGAATGAACGGCAACAAAGTGACTTCATTCTAGCGGATTTATAAGGGTGTGTAATCCGTTAGAACGTTGTACATCATAAATCTTTAGAAAACTAACAATTACAAAGGACAAGCTGAGAGAGAGAGAAGTGATAACAAAGAAATTGAAAGAAAGCTCCATGTTTCACAATTACTTTATTGGATAAGCTTTAATTTATACACAAACATAAATGATGCAAATAATTTGAATCCTTCAATAAATAATGAAACTTTGAGTAAAATACTGCAAAACTTACTAAATAATAGAGCAGTGCTCCAGTTCATGTTAACTTCGAACTATTATTTCTTCATTACCACTATACTGACTTCACCTTTGCTGCTGCTTCAACTCCTTGACTGCACGTATATAAGCAATGAGTGAACTTAATGGTTTTGCCATCCGGATAAACGGGTGTCGCAACAATTCTTCGGCGTCAGCTCGTTCTTCCTGTTTCACACATAGGCAGCGATCCAGAAAATCGTTAAATTCTGGAGACAAGGAATTTTTCTTCTTTACTTCTGGTTTTCCATTTTGAGCTATCAAATATATTGCCTGAAACAACAGAAAATGTCAAAAACGAAAGGTAGCAATAACATTAGTACTCCGCAATTATTAGTCCTAGTGATAATAACCAAAGCCGTCAGAAGTAAACCCCTTACCGCCTTAAAATCTGATAGGAATCAATACTTGTAAACCTCAACCTTAACTTAATGTTAGCTGAATTGAAGTATATATTTCTAGAAATTGCATGTACGTATGAAAGTATTGTATGCCGCCAAAATACAGATGGATAAATAAACATTATAACACAACTGCGCATAAGAGTAAACAAACTTTGATGGGAGTTTCATAAAGATATGGTGGTTCTCCATCGAGCATTTCCAAAGCCATTATTCCAAGCGACCAGATGTCTACTTTATAGTTGTACTTCACCTTATTCACGATTTCAGGAGCCATCCAGTACGGTGTCCCTACCATTGTTGCCCTTAATTTTTTGGAAATTATTTATGCTCGCCAGCAATAACTTTCTATACCAACCTTTTTGATCCAGGTTGAATCTGAGCGCAGAAGCCAAAATCCGTCAATTTTACGGCACCTTGCATTCCCAGCAAAACGTTGTCCGATTTAATATCTCGGTGTATGATACTGTGACTGAAAAGACAAAATATGAACAAATCCAAAAGCGTGAAAATTAGTAAAATACATCAAAAAAGTAAATAATTTGATTACGAAGCGTGATCTCAACAGTCACACACTCAAGGCTTTATATCATAACTTTTCCCCTACTGCTTTTCTTGCAGTGTTTGGATCTTTCTCATCTACCTAATTATTTCTCCAAAGTCGCACTTACTAAAACAAAGTTACATAACTTGTAAGATCATAACTACAGACATTCATAAGAAGAAACAATTATTTGCCTGTGTAAAAATTGAAGAGCATTCAAACACTCCTTCAAAATTGCAGCAATTTGTCCTTCATCTAATTCAGTTTTCACAACAACGTCTGTTAAATTACCACCCTCCAAATAGTCCATGACAACCCATAAGTCGTCTGCATCCACCAAAAAACTGTCAATATAGTTAACAAGATTCTGCAAAATAATATGAACTATTCTCTGGTCGTACGAAAAAAAAAATGAACTACAGAAGACCTATCTCTTATAAATGAATGGAATTCTACAGGATCATTTTCACAAAGAAAACCTACTTCATGCTTGTATTTCTGCATAACTTTAATTTCCGTAAGCAGCAACTCCTTCTTTGGCTGACTTTTGAATGCCATACGCTTCACGGCAACTACTTCACCAGTAACCTTATCGCGTGCGGTATAAACATGGCCCGATGCACTAAAAATATAAAGACATAATGGCAATGCACAAATTCTAGCAGAACAAACCAAAGAAATAACATTGCAAAACAGACATTTCCTTTAATATTATTAAGATGAATAAAGTTAATGATTCAGATCTAAATTTTTGTAAATCTTTTGGGAATGCCATAGCGTCCTTGTAGGGCAAGTGAAAAAGTATCCCTTTTTAACAAACTGTCTCTTATCTTTTTAGAAAGCTAAAAATTACCCTATGCCAATTTTCTGAAGTAAGTCGTATCGGTCTGTTGGATTACCCTCATTAACTATTTGTTTCAGTTCTTGCAATATCTGAAAGAAGATTTTGAATGATTTGCTCGAACACGAAAGAACTCATCGTTACAGAGTTCATGGTATCGAATATTCCACCGCAGCCGTGAATATGGTCTATTCAGCTGGGCAGTAGAAGAAACGTATAAATGTTACGCTTACTTCTTGATCACTGGGTTTCTGGCGCTGAGATTTATTCGCAGCTTCATCCGTTCCTTTATCATTTGTTTGCGCCCTCTTCCTTACTTGTACCTAAAAAATTGAATATAAGCATTACTACGCGCAAACATACTTATTTCAATATAAATAAACCTCAAAACTTTTAACCTGGAACAAGAAATTCTGAAGACTCAGAGATCTACCACATACACCATTCTGAGGAAAGAGCAAGGTAAATTTATCGATAACGCACGTTATCACAAATTCCATTAGTTGCTTCTTTATTGCCGATATCAACGCTATTAGCCTTTGTCATCTTGCCTTCCGATTCTACGTTTCCCGAGCACTGTGTTGTTGCTGCCACTAACTCATTTCCGGTGTTCAATTCAACAACTGTACTCGAATCAACATCTTCAGAAACCTTGGATGACTCCGACTCCAGACTATCTCGACCATCTTGCTGTGTTGTCAGCTGTTCACTAAGTGAACACGATGGTTTCAAATGCTGAAAGCAAACTAAAACTAACTGAAACTTGAAACCCTATTATTTTTTAAAAAGAAAAGCTGAGTCACAAGATTATAATGCCGACAATAGAAATTTCAGCAACAAAAATTTCGCAAAACTCAAATGTGATTTGAAAAATCTACCACCATAATCCCGCATATACTTTCTCGAATATTCAATAAGTTACTTAAAGATGAAGTACACAGAGGAAAAATAGATTATTAGGTAAAGAAAATGAATGGATCTGAAAATTCAACAAATGTTTAACTTAAAATTTCAGGATAAACCTTGCTGTTTTTTCATTCCCCCCTTTGAAATTTAAGAAAAGTATCATTAAAATGATCAGTACAGATCTTTAACTAACGCAAACAACTAATCTTACCGCTAACTCATTCCCAATGAAGTCGATGTAAGCCGAAAATGGTGACATAACGCCAAAAGTAATTCGAGGTATAAATGGGTTGCACATTTTCTAATTCTTTGTGAAGAATGGTGTTGATGTGGATAACCTATCACTAAGAAGCACAAATCTCTCGACTGATGAGAAGGAACGAATTTAATTCCAATGAGATGAAGTGCTTTGCGGTGAAGACCAGTTAGTTAAATAAATCAGTATGTGTAAAAACGATAAATAATTTGTTCTAACGGTGGTTTCGCAATATCATGAAAATCAAGAAATAAGAATTTTTAGAGTAGAACAGACTCTATCAACAGCTGAATATCGCGGCGAATACGCCACAGGCCAACGTGATAAATAATATACCAAACAAGTATGCAGACCTTATCTATTGAACGATGATACGTCGTGGGTATGGGTAAGCACTAGTTATGTAGAGCACATATGAACGGGTAATCAATTCGAAACACAAGCATGTTTTTTCTTTTTTGTTTTTTTGCTCTCGAAATTAGGTGTAATAAATTACTGCCTCTAAAATAACATTAGTACACATAAAAAAAGACACGAACAACCAGTGAAGTGTTAACGATACTAGTATCACACCTTTATGGGTAACACTAAGAAATCATTTTCTATCTCTTCTCTGTTTCTTCACTAGCCTTTCTCAGTTCAATTTCCTTTTGTTTTTTCCTCCTTCCCTTATCTTTGCTTGAAATGCATATAGAGTGTCAACGATGCGAAATTAGTGTCACGCACTTTTGTTCAAAATGAAAAAATCTAGTTCTCGCACCATCATTCCCGCTGTTGTCCCACTAAGGTTTTTGGGAAAATGAATGGATAAGCTATTTTGAATTCCATTATTCTGAACCGCACATCAAATGCAACTGTTATAAATTATGCTTTACACTTTACAGAAGAAAAGGAAAATTCCCAGGGAGATGATTCTTTCTCTTTTCTAATTTTTTGATGGACCAGACTATTTGACAAAAAAAAAAAGGTTAATAAAAAACTTGTTGATAAATAATCAGGGATAGTGTCATGGATGTAGCTATCCAGCATCATGAAAAGGCGCAACAATTAGTAACGGGGTGAATCTTCGCTTTTCTCTGTTCGCCGAAAGTCTCTACCAATAATCCAGTTATTTTATGAATAAAATATTGCACAAATATCCACACTTAATTATACTTCATACAGCTAATCCACTTTTTTCGGATAGTAATGGGTGACCAATGTCGGGAGACAATGACCAGTGCTGGGAGACTATGGCTTTGCCATCAAATATTTTATTTTTGTATTTACAACCATGGTCTAAATGAGATTTATGGTAAGGCGAAAATGATTCTAAATTGGATGGAGATGATATTCCTTACTTTTTGTAAAAAAGTCTCTCCATTTCTTGAATAATAGCCACTCTTTTCTTTTTTTCTCTTGATAAATTTAAATCTCAACGCTTGCACGTTTTTGTTTCGCTATCAAATGACACAGTAACGATGAATTTTTTTCCTTATCGACATTGCCATAATTAATAATAGACCGGGAATGATTACAAACCGTTGGTTTTGGTGGTAGTGGAGGTGGTGTTTTCCGAACACCACTTTTTATTGCCGGTTTGGTAGACACTTCGTTCGACGAAGTTTCAACACTTCCCTCACTAATTATTGTTGTACTGCAATGCGATAAAATTTTGAGTGGGGAACAACCAAAAACATACTCGAAACAAAAAAATAAAAAAAAAGAAAATTGTTCGGCATGGAACTTCCCAATAGACACAAAGTGGAATATTCCAAAAAATATTGTCACCTGTTTGAACTTCGTGATGGTGGTAATGGTGGTGCGGCAGGGTGCTGCGAATGTCGAGGAGGTACTGTTGGAGGTGTGGCAATTGGAAATCCACTTGCCGCAATGGATGGAATTGCTGTGGAGATCTCTGCTGAACTATCACTTTCCATATCTCGAGAATCTTTTACTATAAACGGATGTGTTTTATATATAAAAAGGTAATTTTTTCGAAAATAAACTTCATTTTCAAACGAATGAAAAACACGGAGAAACTTATTACCCCGAAATTTCGACAAATTTATAAACTATATTGCTAAGTATTACCACTGCCCATATCATCCGTTTTTGCAATTGGTTGAGTAGGGGCCGTAGGTTCCTCATCATTTTCATCGTCAAACGGCAACTGAGAATTTGTGATCATAAACTTTTGTTTATCAGCTTCCTGTGCCATAATAGTTTTTGCATAAAATTTCAATGCCGATACAACTGCTGAAGGATTTTTCTTCTGGTCAGCTTCACTGCAAGAGAATGACAACAAATAATGACATTTATTCCACTTGACACACTTGCAAACAGATGAACTATATTTCACCATATTTAAAATGAATAAACAATTCTGAATATTTCAGGAAAAATTCTACACCAACCTAATATCACGAAGCAGTGTGTCCATCCAAGGCTGTGGCAAGCCCGTGAATTTCTTGCCATCGTAGCCAACATGTATTCGATGGACGGTATTATAAGGTGAGCTGATTTCTCCTGGGCCGGAATAGTATGATGAGGACGAATTGACCTCATTGTTATTTGAATTAAAGAAACGTCCTAATATGCTTCTTAGTCTGACCTGAAATAATAAGACATGCCTAGACCTCTGCAACTCAGCAACAACCACTCCTTAATGAACTTCATTTCATTTCGACAGTTGCACGACTTGCGAAACCAAATAACTGGCCTGGAACAACTACACGAAGAACATCGTCATAAATTGGAATAGGGGAAGAACCTCATAATAACTCTAAAGACATTAAATGTTCCTTTTGGCACTAATATCCAACAGCAGAAAATGTATTCTAGGCTCTTTAGGATTTCTGCAGCAAATCTCTTTCCTGATTTCGCACTTCTTAACTAACCAGTGTCATTGCCACATCGCTTAGATATCAAGCCAAATTTTGCGGTTCAAAATATATAAAAACCCAAACTAATACACCAAAGAAATGGTGTGAACGCAAACAAGACTTACCTTTGATTTGTCCTTCTCACGTGGAGTAGACATAATCGTGAGGATGGTCCACGATATGCCCAAACTAAAACAAACAGAACTGAAGTCGTCACAGGAATGTTTCCGACTATTTGAATAATGTTAAAGAAATTTCCAGATTTAATTTTAAAAAATTCACACTGGCCAAATGAAGAAACAAGAGCGAGTTACGAAACCAATGTTGCCTAATTCTTCTTTCATTAGACTTTTCTAATTTTTTGAATTAAAACAAACGTTTAGTAGGAAAATGAATGTACAATAATGATGTAAATACTGATGGTACTTTATGAAGATCAAAAAATTGGGCTACAGCTAAAGTACACGACGATATTCAGAAGACCAAATGCGGAATCTGTCTAACCTCAACTCCCCTCCCTCCTCAAGTGCCCAAGATTGTATCAGGACGGGGTCAAAAAAGGACACCAAGACCCAACGCCTACCAGAAAACCCGAAGTCCAAAAAGATGATGTAATTTGCGGCCGTAGGCATGAGTCACAGTGCCGAATGCAATATGTATGAATCATCGCACTTTTTTTTTCGTTCTTTCCGTTAGAACTGTAATAAATTATCACAAAAAAAAAAGATTGAAAAGCAGCAGAGTCAACTCCTAATTATTCACAAACATAGTTTTATGAACAATAAGAAGTTAATTTTTGAAATTGTTGAGGTATCAAATGTTAACTGATAGTCTGATAATTTCGTTTCATGCCGAGATCCGGTTATTCGGTCTAACCATCAAGAGGAAAAAACGTGTGGTCAGATCATGATTTTAGCAAATGAGTAACCTTTTTCTCGAAATTATGTGAAAATTTTTTTAAATTAATCCTTAGAATTTCATGTATGTTTTAGCTACCATATTGTTTTTATCTTTCCAAAAAGGTCAGCGATACTTTAACGTCCGTTTTTTCCTTTTTTTTCTTTTTGAAGTTAATAAATATAAGTCCGAAAATATCAAAGAAACAATTATTCCGTTGTGAAGGAGAGTTACAATTGTTGTTTCATTTATTCAATTTCTTGAAGCTCTAAAATTTAATCCTTCCCAACAGTATCGTTGTAAATCAACATAATTCTTGATTATTGAGAAATCCCAGCTCACTATTCGATATTACAGGATGTGTTTGATGGAAGAATTTTGAAACTTTTAATTTAATTTAACTAATTATATTAACGATGTAATATCTGAGGACCAAATATCCAAAAACCAATGCCAACAAATATGGTATTTTAAATGCTCATTTTGTGCGAAAATTGCGTTGTACTGTCATTTGATAACAATGATTTGATTATCTATCAAGATTTCTACAGCGCACCTTCATATTATTACCCGTTAACTTTCTATTTGCTGTATCTTTTTTTTTTGTTAGGAAAAACCATTAACATTCAATATTATGAACATAGCAACAAGTAATTCTCAAAAAGCAAACGGCGAAATTATCATAATCCGTCAAAAGTTCTCATATGAACAGTGAACCATAAATTCATATGAGCTTTCATCATACTACTGAAATTGATGGATGAAAGCGAAGTTTCGACCTATTGAAGCGGTAATTGTCAATTTTTAGGATTTGTTGATTTACCTCTCCAAGATATTATTTCCTGTTAATTGATTCTTGGGCAAGTCGGAAAATCTAATTAAGTATTGGTAAGATTTCTTGAATTTCTGGGAGGAGGAGAAAAAAGAGGAGGAGTGAATGGTTTTTTTTTAATCAATATAATGATTATATGAGCTTTTCCCTATCACTCAAAGGTCCACCATTAAGCCGAAAGCTTTGCCTAGATGTCCTCCCCCTCTCTCTTCCATTTTGACAACTTACAAACGGAAATGGTCTTCTCATTAAACAAACGAAATTGCCCCGAAAATGCCCTAAGCCACAGAAAAACATGCATAAAAAACAGTCACTTACCGTATGCTTTCTTCATTCTGTCTCTTCCCTAGTCCTATTTTGATTTTTGGTTTTTGGCAATACCTTACCTTCCTTTAGACCACTTTTTAAACAATATTTTTAGTTTCTGGATGGGAAAAGTTTTAATAAAGGAACCAAATGTTATTAGCAATGGAAAGAAGTCTTAACTCTATGCCAGAATGATTGGATCATAAATTAGACGTAATGTCGGATAAAGAAAGAGCATACAGAACGGGTTGGTAGTTAAGATTTGATGCCAAAACATGTCTGCCTTATAATGGAAGTCCCCTTGTGAATTGGAATGAAACGAAAATAGGAAGCAAGTTGAAAGTTAGTATTGTTAGTTTAAAGAACAAGCTGAAGTCCTTAAATTTGTCAAATTTGTCTCCGTAAAGGCACATAAAGGGATATTCTTCAAAACTTTCCCCTCCATTCCTTATCCTATTTCACATCGCTCCTCCAGTTGTCAACATAATTCATGGGAATTCTTTTCTCCTTATTTTCAGAACAAAGCAAGACGAACACAGATGAAATCCACGAAACAGTAGATAAGTAAAGGTAAGTAACAAATCGAGGGTAAGACAGATCGAAAAAAAGTAAGTAATCATTCCACAAAATTGCCAATATCTGGTGCCGTATTTATGGCAAGAAGTTTTTTGTAGTAATTCATTTATCTGCGTGTGCGATCGAAATTTACTTCATTGCCTATCATCAATCGTTTGATTTGTTCAACCGTTCACCATCATCATTTCAACATTTTTAAACATCAATTCCATCCAAATTGTGGGAAACAGATGTGTCTGCAGCACGAAATTTCATCTTTTTTTTTCTTTTAAATTTCTTTACTTGAATTTAAAATCAAGTCCAAAAAACCATAACATAAAGAATTGATTTGTTTAAATTTTGTCCTAAAAATTAATCATTACAATTCAAAATACATTAAAACTTCGAAAGATTCAAAAATGGCTAATCTATCGTGTTGCTGATGTCAATTTATATAAGATGTTTCATTAAACTTCCGCTGCTTGCAAAGTGTAGGTGTTAAATACCAAAAACTTGAAACATAAAATAAAATTCTGACGACAAAGATGGCGTTGCAAAGTTCAAATAGATGAGGAAATGAAGGTAAGAAATTTTTGGAATGGAAATGGATGAAAAGAAGGAAATGAGTTGTAGTCAGATAAGCTGACAAAATTGAGCATTTCAATTTGGCAAATTTTACATTTACAGGGGAATTTTTCAAATTCATATTAACAAATCTTTAAATTTATGAATGTAAAACAAACCATTCATTTGCTTATGGCCGATTAATTCAATATTATTACGGACTTTGAATGCCAACGTAAAAAATATGCTTTCCTTTTTTTCGTCGCCTTTTTCTGATTAAAATATTTCATTTTGAAAAATTCAGTTATTCGGCGTTTTCTTCTTTCTTTTTTCTTTTTTTTTGTAGATTAAACGATGTCCTTGGGTTGGTATGATGTTGCCTTTCAAGTTTGAAAAATTAGCATTATATTACTTCCTGAAATCCCTGTATATCTCATCTTTCTTTTTTAATAACATTTCGATATTTTCATTTTTCTTAACCAACCAGGAAACTTGGCAAACTCTGTTCAACTTCAGTTAAGAAAGCCAAAGAAAGCATTCCTAACTTTGGATAAAATTTAATGCAGCACTTATTTCTTCAGGCAAATTAAGGCTGTGCAAATTATCTTCAAGATTTCTTCTTGTTGTATTGCTAACATTTTCATTCAAAACATAATCATATATTTAAGGTGTAGCTATCATCATCGTAACACTATATGATGAGAAGCAAATGTGTCGTAGCATATTCTCATCAACATACTTGAGCTTCTTCATATTCGCATTACAAATTCATCAAAAGAATTTCCGACATTCCTAAACTTAAAATCGAGAATTATTCGGACGCATTGTGATCATTTTGCAAATTAACACTCTTTTTCCGTAAAATTTCCCAGTTTTTTTTTCTTTTCTCTTCATTTCCAGTCTATCATCAGTCATTATTTTAATACTTCCCAAGCTTTAAAACATAAATTTTTTGTTTGGAGCCTAATATCTTATTTTTAATGAAAAAAGAAATTGAAATATTGCATATAAACGAAAAGGTCCAAGAAAAAGAATACGCAAAAGTATTCATTTCAGATTTTTGCAGATCATTTATGGTAATTTCACAAATTGAGACCATAATTTACGTTGCTTAATCGTTCTTATCGATAAATTGTCCTTATCAATAAATCGTTATCATTTGGATCAGGATTGTCTTATCGCACAGAAAATTATCACAGCATATACCTTTTCACCATTTTAGCTACCTTTTTTACTCATCAATGATGCCAAATTATCCAGTGCCTCTTTTAAGATAAATTGATGTTGCAACACAGAAATGAAGCCGACCGCTAGCTGAAATATCAATTGAGGAAAAGGACATTTTATCTTATCATCAGGATTATTCGATCCTTGAGCAATGTGAATCTTCGAAATCTACTCACTTCGTTCATTTCACCATAATTCCATTTCATCTATCCGCTTGTCAAACTAATAATGACTCGAAAGCCTGATTTGATCTATGCCAAATGTAATCAATGTATTATTATTATCGACTGACTTTTACCTTCTGGTAAATAAAAATTAATGTTTCAAGTTAAATTTAAGATGTAAACTTTGTACTATTTAATCTTCCGACCAGTCGCTTCATCATGTAACTTCTAATGCTCTTCCTGAATGCGGAAATTCATTACATTCATTACGATATAGGTCAAAACGAGCGTTTAATGGGACATAGTTTCTACCTGTGCAAATAATGGAAATGGTAAGTGATAGAAAAATCCTAAACCACAAATCTTTATACGGATTTAAGCAAAAACAGAAAAAGAAGCTAGTGACAAAAAGAAGTAAAAAAAAAGGCAAATTATGAAAACTGTTTTTCGGAGCTATTAGTTGACCCTACAGTACGCTTAATTAAATGGCCTAACCTCAACAACATAATTAATTAAGTCAAGAGAGGACACCTAGAACTCTTAAACCTTCCGAAATGCAAAAACGAAGATTGCTTTCATGATTGAGGGAATATAATACATAATTCATAAACTAATTATGACAGAAATATTCACAAAAAAGAAACCATGCGTATAATGGACGACAAATGGCAAAAAAAAAAGAAAACTAATTATTTTATGGAAACTATGGTTTCAACAAATATATTTCTGTTACAATTTTAAAAATTTATTTTCCTTCCCTTTTCCCCTCTTTGCATTTTTAATGATGATTTCCTTTCATTTTAATTATTATTATTATTATTATTATTATTACTATTATTATTATTATTATTATTATTATTATTATTATTATTATTA